TTGAAAAAATTCAGCCACCTTTTGATTTAATGATACATTGTATTTGCTGACAATGTCATTGTATCGGCCATAGAACTTACGAAATGATTACTATAAGCGAGACTGCGTATATTCTTGTTTCATTAACTTGTTTGTCAATAGTTTATATTGTTTATTTATTTGCTTGTTTTAAAATGTCCATTCGATATAGTTGAAGGTAATTTGACAAGCAATTTACCAGAAGAAGGGCTTCAAATTTGGACCTGTACATGTACTCGGAACTTGTTTTTTGGCAGCAATGGGCCTGCTGCAACTAGGGACTTGTTGTAAGGTCTCATCCAAAGGACAGGTTTTCGTGTTAGATAGATACGCATCCGTGACGTAAGGATCAACCCCTTTCATCCAAGACTCCAAAACAATGGCACTACCATGAGACTAACGCCAATATTTTTTCACATATTATTTACACGCTCATAATTTAAGGTATCCAATCGATAATAGCCTAAGTTTCAATGAATTTGAATGCATAAGATATATATCTGCTGAATACTCAGTGTATGTAGACATAATCTTCATGTTTTAGGATTTATATGGATGAGCGGAAGTGTCATAATTTTCGACCTTGGCCCTTTTTGAAGAGTTTGCCTCCTTTGCTATAAACCAATAAAATCCATTTCACATTTAAATGAACGTGTTTGTTGAAGCGTACATTTTTTTCTGAAATGTTCGATTTTCATATAGAATGTGTTCATTTAGATTTTGTCAATCAGAATCTTAAGCATCTTAATATATATTTTCTGCATTGTCCACGCAAAAAGGATTAACTCATCGTGGGGAATGGTTATATATAAAAAGGAAAGTCGTTAGCTTTTATTCTGTTGATTTTGGTAAAATGTTGTGACTTCAAATTTCTTTGGATATTTTAAGTTTCCACATCTGATTTAAACCACTACTTGAATATATTGCTGAACAGTACTCCTTAATTTTTCCTTCACTACTGTTAATATTTTAGGGAGGAGAAAAGAAAGAGGCGTAGTAGTACATTTATTTGAACCCACTATGTACCGTAAATCTGGCAATTTTTGCTGTAGATAAATTTTAAGCAAATTTGCGAGTTCATTGCATTCGCAAAAATATTTTTCTGAAAAATAAATCACCAATAAGAAAATGTAAACAAACAGTGGTCATTCGCAAAAATTTGAAACGTAAAAATTAATCAACATTTTGACCCGAATTCGCAAAATAAAATCGACGTAAAAATTTCCAGATTTACGGTATATCTTTAATTGCTTAAAGACTTCTGGAGAAGTGAAGTTTTAAAAATCCAGCATAAATATAGTTATTCAGATTCATTCTGTTTGTCGGGAATAATAAAAAAAAAATCATTCAAAAACTGGCATATGATTTTATGGAATTTTCATCCCAGTTCCTCTAAAATACAATTATAATAATGAGCCTTATAAACGAAGACAATTTTGTTACCTGCTTCGTCAGCAGTGACCACAAACTGGTCGTATAATCTATTAAATTCCTTTTCACTTCAGAATTACTGAACACAGAAGAATAGATGGTTTTCTATTTTGCCCCAAAATCGCTTAATATTATCATATCTCTGGTACATTTCATCCATTCTGATAAGGTGTCAATTTCTTCTTTTTAGCTCACCTGAGCCGAAGGCTCAAGTGAGCTTTCAAAATTTGTCCGTTGTCTGTCGTCGTTGTCGTTGGCGTTGTTGTCGTCGTAAACTTTTCACATTTTCATCTTCTCAAGAACCACTGGGCCAATTTCAATCAAACTTGGTACAAAGTATCCTTGGGTGAAGGGGAATCAATTTTGTTCAAATGAAGGGCCAGGCCCTGTTCCAAGGGGAGATAATTATGATTAAGAGAAAAATTAAAGCCATTTTTAAAAAATCTTCTTGTCAAGAACCACTGGGCCAGGAAAGATGAAACTCATGTGGAATCATCCTCAGGTAGTGTAGATTTAAGTTTGTTCAAATCATGACCCCCGGGGGAAGGGTGGGGCCAAAATGCCCGATCAAAGTTTTACATAGGAATATATAGAAAAAATCTTTAAAAATCTTCTTCTCAAGTACCACTGGGTCAGGAAAGATGAAACTCATGTGGAATCTTCCTCAGGTAATGTAGATTCAAGTTTGTTCAATTCATGACCCCCCGGGGGTAGGGCTGGGCCATAATGGCTTATCAAAGTTTTACATAGGAATAAATAGGAAAAATCTTTAAAAATCTTCTTCTCAAGTACCACTGGGCCAGGAAAGATGAAACTCATGTGGAATCATCCTCAGGTAATGTAGATTCAAGTTTGTTCAAATCATGACCCCCAGAGGTAGGGTGGGGCCAAAATGGCCGATCAAAGTTTTATATAGGAATATATAAGGAAAATCTTTAAAAATCTTCTTCTCAAGAACCTTTGGGTCAGGAAAGATTAAACTCATGTGGAATCATCCTCAGGTAGTGTAGATTCAAGTTTGTTCAAATTATGACCCCCGGGGGTAGGGTGGGCCCAAAATGGCCGAATAAAGCCATATATGGCGTATGTACAATGAAAATTATCAGACTAAAATTATGAGAACTTATTAATTGTATCATTACTTTATATAAAGATAGAGATTTTCCGTAAATTACAAAATCTAAGTCAATTGCGTTATAAAGATATCACAATTTAAATTGGATTCTCGGAATTTTCTCCGACTCGGAAGAAAATACAAAAGATTTAAATAACACAATACAGAGAAGATAAAATCGTATTATTAGATGAAACGAGGTGTTCTCCGTGTTCAGAATTGTATGAAAAGTTTGAATTTAAATATATTAACTATATTTCTTTACTTCATTTTGTATTTTTCAAAAATATATTTTTTTATCAGTTACGCCATATATGGCTTTAAAGTTTTACAAAGGAATATATAGGAAAAATCTTTAAAAATCTTCTTCTCAAGTACCACTGGGCCAGGAAAGATGAAACTCATGTGGATTCATCCTCAGGTAGTGTAGATTCAAGTTTGTTCAAATCATGACCCCCAGGGGTAGGGTGGGGCCAAAATGGCGGATCAAAGTTTTACATAGGAACATACAGGGAAACCTTTCAAAATCTTCTTTTCAAGTACTTCAAAGCATGGCTTCGTTATATTTATAGGGAATCATCCTCAGGTAGTGTAGATTCAAGTTTGTTCAAATCATGACCCCCTTGGTGGAAGGGATGTAAAATTCAAGCCCCCCTCCCAGTTTACTAGCCAATTGCTCAGGTGAGCGATGTGGCCCCTGGGCCTCTTGTTTATGTTTTGCTATCGCCTGGCGTAATCTTAACAGAATTTATAATTTATAAATTTATGACGCCATCTCAAGTATATGAATATAGACGAAGTTAACCAATAAAAGGTATGTCCCCCCTCTCTCTCTCATTTCCTCTTGAGGGCCCTTAATCATCAAATATAAATTTATTGAAAAGTAAAATTGAATATAGTCAAATACCTTGGGAACATGCTTTAAATCATGAACAAATTATGAAATGGATTAAGCTACTCCTCTGGAAGTTCACAAATAGTCTGATACTCTTTCCACAATTCCTAACTTCATAGAGAGTTCTTGAGCCGAATTGTGGGAAAGGTACAATAATATCCTAACTTTTATTCTTATATGGTCAAAATCAGACCACATCACACCATCTTGTTCATTTCTTGTGTACAAATATAAGGCGCTAGATATATATATATATATATATATATATATATATATATATATATATATATATATATATATATATATATATATATATCTGTCTGTATGTTGTTTAACGTCCCTCTCGAGGATTTTTAGCTCAACAGAATCTACGTTTTAAAAATTAAATATAAATGAAAATTGCATTCACAAACTTACAGACAATCAAACAGTAATTAAATACTGGTAATGTTTGAGACAGGGAAATAAAGTGAGTTGTAAGTATCTAATTTTTGTGTTGTCCCCTTTCATAAACTTAATTTTTATCTTTAGATAAATGAGATTCCAAATAACTGATAACTTTATTTAGCGATCATGTCAAAAAACCAAGATGCGAATCAGGAGGCTACTTCCTTCCAAAACTGTGTATATTTTAATTGGTGAGAAGACTAATGCAAAATAACACGTGACATAAGCTGTCCTTAAATCCCTGAATACTCCAAAACTTCCTATCCACAAGGCTGAAACGAGGTAAGTTACTGTGGTTTAAATAAAAATTCTTTAGCATTCCTGTTTCCTTAACATTTCAACATCTTCATAATGTTCCTATTATGCATTTGTGTACCACTATTTCGCGAAAGAGTAGGGTCATAAAACTGCATTTGTCTGTCCGTCTGTCTCAAAAAAATCTTTAACATTGCTAATAACTTTTGAATGAGATAAGATAGGGCTCTGATATTTCATATGTACATAGCCTGTGATAAGACATTTCTAACTATGTTCTGAATTTTGAATCTCTGACCTTGAAGTTTTACCGATTTTTAAATGTTTTTTTTTTCTTATAACTTTCAAATGAGAAGAGAAAGGGTTTTCATATTTTGAAAGTATTATACTAGTAACAAGATGGGTTCAAACATGCTAATATGAATTTTGACCCCTTTTCCTTGATCTTCCTGTTTGACCTATTTTTTTATCAATTGAATTATTTTGAATACTTTTGAATGACAAATGGTGTGGGATTCAAATTTAACACTATGTTCAAGGAACAATTAGTGAAAATCAAAGATTAAAACTAACAAAACCCCTTGTTTTCGCTTACTATACCATTATAAGAGGCACGTGACTGGAATAAACGGTCGACAGGAGATACTCCCCTGATCCCATCTAGGATTTAAATATTTGTTTTACCTCTGTATTCAATGTGCACATGCTTTTCTTAATTAGACTTTAGAGCATAATTACTGTTAGTTATATGTAACATTTTATAAGTTACACAGCAGCCATAAACATGCATGACGAAAATTGCAACATGTTGCAAATTTTAGGAATGGTAAAGTGGTGGAAATGGAAAGGAACAATTGGAGAAAACGAATAAAGTCCTTCGTGACAAAAGTCTACTCCAAGTCCCAACCCAACATGATATTCTCCGTCATAGGGGACTCCGACAATCTGATTCCAAAGCCTTGGCCCAAGTCAAGATTCCAGCAATCTTTGACTTATGCTGCAAAGGCCGCAGGGAGTATGTATAAATACTCTTGTTATGAATTCAAGAAATACATATAACCTATATTTAAAATTTGTCAATATCACTACTTTGCCGTCATCTGTTTAGGTCATTATGTAAATAATAAGTTATACTGATTTATATGATTTATGTTCAATACAAGCATATAAAGGCCGAAATAACACGGCCAAAAGAAAGAATAGAATAAATTAAAATTTTTCTGCACGCTGAAATCCATAGATTGTCTAATACTCAGCAAGGGGGAGCCACTAAAGGTCTCTAAAATAGTCCGTGAGATGATGGAGGAATACATCTACCTAGAGAAGCCGGCCCGTCCGAACCTCCGACTGATCTCCGTCCCCTCTAAGCCTGTGGAGGACACGGGTCTCTACTTTGATCTACCAGAGGTCCTAGAATTTGATGAAAACCAGAGCAATAATAATGAAAGCCGAGGCAAGGGCAAGGACAAAGACGAGGAAGCCGAGGTAGGGACCGAGACATTCCTACAAGAAAGAGCCTCGATTCGCCTCTCCTTACGCTTCTTATATACTTCGGAATTTTATATCTGAAGGCCATTTTCTAACAAGCTCGTTCCGTCTGAGATTTTGGACGGAACATATAATGCATTAAATAAACTGTAAAGAAGTAAAGAAGTTTTAAGGTACCTACATATTTTAAAAGGGTATAAAAGTCACAAACAATTATAAAATCTACATTCTACAATGCAAATTAAACTAAATCCATTGTAAAAACCTCAATTAAATTCCATTCCAGTAGGATTAAGTCGGGAACTATATTTTGTGGTGGAAGGTTTTTCTAGAAGAATATTAATTTTTTTCCCTTTTGAACGATATTCAGTTAACAGTGTTAATTTTACGCAGCGCTAAGTCAAAAGTATCTCGCCGTGAACCTCTAGCATGCCGGAGAAGGTCGTGACAAATTGTCCGAAACCTTTATCAATCAAATCTTATATTTACATGTATATTCTTCTGATTTGGTATTTGTTGAGGCCATTTTAAACATTTTTTTAAGAAATGCAACTTATAATATGACCTTTGTTATGTTATTCATAGTTTAAAATGATTCTAAAACAGTTTTTTTTTCGGATAAACAGTTTAAACTTACCAAATATTTCCTGCCGTAAAGAAAACTTAATCTAATTTTGAAAACACAACTTGTATCAGATTCATTAAGCCATCAATTCCCAAGAACACGAAAATTAAAGAAAAAAACAAAAAACGATGGGATTAGATTACATGTGATAATGAATGCATAAGCAAACCGTATGTACTATTTCTAATAAGAATTAAATTATTGACAAACAAGTTGATGAAACAAGAATATTAACCATCTCGTTTAAATTCCTATTTTCGTAAGTTCTTTGGTCGGTAAAATGATAAATGCAATTTATCATGGAGTCAAATACTCACTGACGTTTTTCATGCTTGTTCTTAAACCATAATTTGCGCAATGGATTGTAGATAATTTTTTTTCGTTATTTCCCGATCATGACAAACAGCACACGGCAGGTGTGGCCGGTCGGTAGGAAATGCTTGCTTCTTCATGGGAGCTGATCCCATCTTTGGCGTTTTGGAAATCTATGTTTGTTTTGTATTGTTTGTTGGACTTTTGAGCTTGAGTTCAGTTCTTTATCTCCATACATTGAATTTTAAATAAATATGAAATAGATTTCTTTCTTTCCTTTAAAAGTAAAATCCTTGTATATCCAATATGATGACAAACGCAATTAATTATCTTTTTCGTTATAGACTTGTAAAGTTGTAGATATTTTGTTTTTTCCTAGATCTATGCAGACGACAGTTTCTTTTGCAAGCTCCCCGCTCGTACCGCGGATGAAGACTATATTGATTTTAGGGCTGAGCTCGAGAGGACTTTAGAGAGACCGACGGACGAAGGTTGTATCAATGGAATGTAAAACAGCATACAATCAATCAATCGTGTACCAAACCTTGCTTCATAAGAAAGATGTTAAGGAGATTTTTATTCTAATTAGTACTTTATGTGGAGTGGAAAGTTAAAACCAATTCCATTCATACATTCTGGAAGAAGCAATGAAACTTTTGAATTTTTATTAAAAAAAAAACAGATTTAAGAAAAATTTTAAACTTAATTCGTAGCTGGTATGTAATTTTACCTGAAACATATTACCACTATGCTCTGCTCCAATTTTGTATTGTTAAATGGAATTTTAGCTCGAATATTGTTTGTTATCTCCATATATACTTTTATGCATGAGGGTCACATTATGAAATGCTTGTGCTGTCTTCCTTGCCATTTTGATTCATGGTTGAATATACTTCTCAGGAATTTTCATTGATAGTCCAATAATTGGTGTCATATTTGCCCTTTGTTGCTTTCAGAAAGGAATGCCTTACTATTAATTCTGGTGGAAGGCGACTTGTCGGCTGTGGACCACATCAAGCTAGCCACTGAGAGTGGAATTCCTGTCGTGTTTATGAAAGGAACAGGCGGGCTGGCAGATCTCATGTCCATTGCTATGTAATTTACTTGATATATTATTGATTTCTATAGCTATTTATAAAAAAAAAAGAATACATGAATTTGGACATAATATACTGTCTTTCATAATATTGATCCTACATTGTGAAAAACGTCGTAATTAATTTTTTTTCTGAATCATACTACATGTATGTAGAGAATATTTGGCCTACACAATGAACTTGTCAGCAAATACAATGTATCAATCAGACAAAGCTGACTTGCTATTTCATACGAAGTGATTATTTATTATACCATTATTTACACACTGAATTTTTGACGGATTTTCCGTTTTTTCCCTATCGTGAAAAGAACCAGAGAGAGTATGATAATTGGCAGAAGATGCTCATTCCTTTATCGCACCTGAACCCAGCTCTGATGTTTGGACGTCCGTGTTTGCTCTGGTCTTCCTTTGTATTGTTTGAGCTTTAATGCTCTTTGTTATCTCCATATATTTAATGAATTGTAAATGATATTTAGAAATAAAAATTTAGAATTTTAAAAGACCTTATCTTTCGATATGCATTTATAGGATTTGGTTTGTGGGTGTTTTTGTTTCTTTTCTTTTTTGTATTCAATGTTCTGCTCACATGTTTATTAGTTGATCTATTTAGGGAGGACAGTGAGGTGGAAATAAGAACACTGCTTCCTGTTCTGTTTGGTATTGAGCTGGACGACACTGAGCATGAAATTGAGACACTGGAGGAATGTCTGAAAACTATTTTGGAAAGATCTTACTTAGTAAGGGAATGAAACTTAGTTTGTTTTATTGTTCCTTATCTTTAGCAATGAAAAAGTATCATAACATAGAGTCTAACTTCGACGTTCAAACGGATGTTTATTTACCGAGCAAACACAAGAAAAGGCATATGTTTGTGTAATGCTGCGCCATTTTTTATGCTGCTGTTACAATTGTGTTGCTAATTAAAGAACGGTTTTTTTCACTTCTTTAAAAGTATTTCCACCTTGCGTGTCTTAAAATGTACAAGAAACACTTGATTATTGAAAAATATATTATTCATCATTTAGATTGATACTTTTGACCTTGTTGAAAAAAATGAAGAACAGTTCGCGGCACTTGTTGGTGAATTGGTGCAAAAATCCAGGTTATTAGAAAACAAGGACTCCTCGAAGAAACACGCCTTAGGTAACAGACATAATTTTAATTAAGCTTGTTTATGATTTTATACTTTTTGTGTTTAGTAAAAAACAATATGATAAAATTTGCTTCAATTGTTATTACTACAAATAAAAAATATACTGAATGTTATTTTCTGACAAAAGTATTTTTCAAATCTTATGTTGAAACTCTTTCATATGCTAGCACGTATGTAGGAGTTACGTTTGTCAAAGAACCCAGTGCCTGTACACATACAGGGTGTTTCACAATATATGTCACACATCTAAACACAGAAAGATAAATGACAACAAAAGTTACATATACATTTTATATATCATTTTAATCAGCATATATTCAAAATTATTTTTTTGAGTCAGAAGAATCCAAATTTCTCTACTTCAGTTACTATGGCAACAGATCCTAAAGTGTTATTCTCTCACAGTGTTTTCCCAACATTGTCCTAAATAACTTAAGAGACTAATGCTTATAAATTTCTGATCACTGTTTTGTAAGCTTCCCAAGATATCAAAGTATAAACTAAACCTTACAATGGTTCGAAGTTTTCCGGGAAAATGCCGAAAATAGGACAGTTAATCGTGATTTACACATTGAGCACATTCGTTACGGAAAAATATTAAAACAGAAAAATAACAGTCACTATGCAAGAGATATTTTCCAATGAAAATATTTACCCGTAATGTGTGCGCCCCTATTGAAAAAAGAAGAAATCAATATCTTTGAAAGAGCTATGACTACAAACCATCACACATTTCCATGTGTTTTACACAAATTAAATGCATCGAACAAGTGGGGTATTATATTTATAAGAGTAAAAGAACAACACATTTCTATTCCGCATGTTTCAGACGATAATTAATAGTGGAAAAGAATTTCTGATATCAGATTCGAAAAAAAACTTTATACTATGATCATCTACACATACATATGACGTTACTGATTAATTATACGTCATTTGTGACGTCATAAAAGATGTAAAGTGAGATTTCGCTTTTTTTATTTTATATAAATAAAAAAATATATAAATATGTGCTTTAGTGCCAATAAAGAATTGAATTGAATTGAATTGAATTGAATTTTAATAAAATTTCTAATGCTTTTATGGACCTATTGGGTAGCTTGCTGTCGTGAATAAATATACCTTAAAAAAAAAAGAAGTGAGTAAAATTCTTGAAAAATAAATCATTAAAAAAATTAAACATTTGGGTTTCCTGTAAACTGGATCCAAAATAGAACTCATGTGAGAATGCGTACAGCACACAATATGTTTTTAACAAATCCCCATATCGAACTGTATACATGTAACATAAATTTGTATAAAACGCGCTGTTAGTGGTTACTGTAGCAATCGTGAAAAGTATAATTATATAATCCTTTTGAAACGAAAAATACTTGTCTGGCTTCTTATTTAAAAAAAAGTATAAATATATTTGACATATCTTTTATTTACGTCGAAAGTATTAATCTTGATACACTCACTGTCGTTTTTCCGACATACTTTAAATATGTTTCCAGAATTAAAACGCATAATTTTAATACATTTTTCTAGATGTCACTATAGTTCATGTAATTACTAGAAATATTAAGGTACGGGTCATGGCATCGCTTTCCCCCTAAAGGAGTGGCTTGGAGTCAAGAAATATTAATAAGCTAAAAAAGTTATACACTTTATATAATTAAGAAAGAACACAAATTTAAGCATGTATGTGTGTGTGTGGGGGGGGGGGGGTTCCTAAGAAGTGCCTTTCATCCTTTCTTTCTTTATTTCTCCATTCAATTTTTGCACGATGGTCGAGACACTTCAGTAAAATTAATAATATTCAAGTCAATTATGGAACCATAATTTTTTTTTCTAAGTGTTGTGGTGTAGGGGAGTCATGTCCACTTGTACTATAAATTAAAATAAAATGTCTAAAGTACCCTTTCCAAAAGTCAAACTTAAACTCATTGACAAGGAAAAAGCTTTAAACCGATTAACCCTATCGGGGGGGGGGGGGGGGGGGGGGGGGGGGTTGTTAACTTTACATGTGTATATATTAGGGATTTCAATCGATTGCAGAATTGCTAATCGGTTAACTGCAAAACATTCCGTCCGATTAACCGGTTAGTTGCATCAAGATATACATATTGACAATTTTTTTTCATAAAAGGCTAAAAAGACATTAGTTAGAAGTTACATCCTGTTTATTAGCTCACCTGAGCCAAAGGCTCAATTGAGCTTTTCTGATCACAATTTGTCCGTTGTCTGTCGTTGTTGTTGTCGTTGTTGTCGTCGTCGTTGTCGTTGTTGTCGTCGTCGTCGTCGTTGTAAACTTTTCACATTTTCATCTTCTTCTCAAGAATCACTGGGCCAATTTCAACCAAACTTGCTACAAAGTATCCTTGGGTAAAGGGGATTCAAGTTTGTTCAAATGAAGGGCTACGCCCTTTTCCAAGGGGAGATAATTATGAATTAGAGAAAAATTAATGTCATTTTTAAAAAAATTTCTTCTCAAGAACCACTGGGCCAGGAAAGATGAAACTCATGTGGAATCATCCTCAGGTAGTGTAGATTCAAGTTTCTTCAAATCATGACCCCCTCAGATAGGGTGGGGCCAAATGGCCGATAAAAGTTTTAAATAGGAATATATAGGGAAAACAACTCTTAAAATCTTCTTTTCTAGTACTTCAAAGCCATGCTTAGTGATATTTATAGGGAATCATCCTAAGGTATTGTAGATTCTAGTTTGTTCAAATCATGACCCCCTGGGGGTTAAAATTCAAACCCCCTCCCCCCTCCCCGCCCTCAGTAAATTTTCAGTTCTGATCTGATGTGCTTTTTGTCTAGCCAATTGCTCAGGTGAGCGATGTGGCCCCTGGGCTTCTTGTTATTTTGATTGGGGAATTTTATGTACATAAGAGTATATTTCATTTCAATTTCAATAGACAAGAAAAAAAAAAGAAAACCATGAATCTTGCTTGAGAAATCAGAAAGGGATAATTTTCAACGCCGATGTTAAAGAAGTTAATTCTGCGTTAATACCATAACCAGAAGTAGTAGATATGTCTGACCTTTCAATTTATTTACAATTTACAACCAAATATTCTTAATTATTTAAAGATGTGTAAAAACCCTAAATAAAAATTTAATCCGCATGCACTTTCCTTTCTAAAAAAAAAAAAATAAAAAAAAGCAGAAGGGATTTTTAGGAAACTGCGATCAAATTTACATATATTTTATTTTTTCCGACTGACCGATTACGGATGTTCTACGGATTAGCATCGTTCCGACCAATTTATCGATTAACCGGTTACAAATTGCTATCCCTAGTATATACACGATAATCCTTACCAAATGCAGAGGACCTGTGTATCCTTTGGGTGCGCTGGTATGGTATTTTTTACTTTACTTTTACTTACTCTGAAATCTGAACTCCCACTTGATCCACTACGGAGATTGTTTGTTTCTCACCAAGTGTGTTGGGGGGGGGGAGGGGAGATTGAATCTTTATAACTCTGCTTTCTCGCCCCTTTTTAAATGCAGAATTTTACCTTTTCAAATCAACATTGTCATATTATAGCTAAAGTCTTCAAGCATAGTCTGTATAGATACTCATAAATGATTTTTTTTTTTGGGGGGGGGGGGGGAGAGGCTTTCAATATATACATGATATTGAATAAATAAAATAGTATACTTCACCGTAAAATCCCGGCTTAGCCATTACAGCTATGGAGGTATTTGTATTATTTGAATGAGAAGGCGGGGCGTCTTAAGTAAAAACAAAAATAAGAATAACTGACCCATAAAACTCCTCTTGTTTCGTGCTAGAGACCGACAAAATATAAACATATATTTTTGATTGAATTATATGACATGTTATTCCACTAAATTTACGAGATTTATTTGAAATGACTTACTAAAAATTCGTTAAGACACAATGGAATCTGTAAAGAGAGCGATTGCATTAATGTTGCTTTGAGCAAAATCCTGTTTATTCATGCTAAACAAGTTAATATGATCTTCTTCGTATTGGAATTCAATAATTTTTGAAATTCACTCGTGTATTTTTTTTTTATTTTACGAACTCTCTCTGCGTAGTAAGATAAATGATAATTCACTTCAAAATATGTTTAATGCTTTTTCCTTTTGATTGACACCCCCACCCCAAATACGTTGATCGGACATGTGCAAGGCTCATACAAGTGCATTTTCTAGCTTTTAAACATTATGCTCTAAAATACCTGCGAACATGGAATTTTTTACATGATCTGAAATAATATGATTTTACTGCCGAGGTCAAAATAAAAAATACATTTGTTTCCCCTAACGCAACCTACCCAATTTAATCGCACCGACTAAAAAGATTTTTTAAATAAGATTATAATTCAAATAATTTTTTTAAATTGTTAACCAGGTTTTATAAAATACGTGTTCGATTTCATCAAAATCAGTTTTTATCAGAACTGCCGACATTGTTCTACTGTGATTTTCTAGCATTTGTTGGAAACAAAATGATGCCCAGATGTGTTTATAGAGAATAAGATCTTCATAAAACAACGGCGACGTACATGTATAAATCTTATGCCTTTGGCTATTAAAAATTCTTCCTTCTTTAAACAATTTGAAAATAAGTTGTGACATTAAACAGAACATTTGAGAATATTTACTTCAATTATATGTCTAAGCACCTTTAATAAATAGGTGCATTATTATCCTACAGTCATCTCTATCGCCATTTTACGTGACGTTATATTACAAAAAATGACGTTCCTAATGCATTTTCCCATCAAAACAATACCATATTGCAAGATCTCGTTTTGAAAAAGTATAATAGATATCGAAAAAAGAAAAACGGTTATGAAAAGCTTAAAGTCTCCACTATCGATAATAAAAATCATTTTAATTTTGGGGATGAGGCCATATTTTATGGTTTGTGGATTAAGCTCTTTAAGATTTCGAAATACTCTTGATACACTTACTGGCATTGTTACAACCCATCTCCCTAAACTCAGATCTGACTTTCATGAGG